GGGTAAGCTGGGAGAGACTGGGGTGGGACTGGGAGGGACTGGGAGGGGATTGGGAGGGACTGGGATAAACTGGAGGGGACTGGGAGGGGACTGGGGCAAACTGTGTGGGGACTGGGATAAACTGGGAGGGAATGGGAGGAACCGGGAGGGACTGGGATGGACTGGGAGGGACTGGGAGGGGACTGGGGCAAACTGGGAGGGACTGGGATAAACTGGAGGGGACTGGGAGGAACTGGGAGGGGGTTGGGATATAACTGGGACAAACTGGGAGGGACTGGGGGGAGATTGGGATGGGACTGGGAGGGACTGGGAGGGGATTGGGATAAACTGGGAGGGAACTGGGATGGACTGGGGGGGATTGGGAGGGACTGGGAGGGGACTGGGGCAGACTGGGAGGGACTGGGAGGGGATTTGGAGGGACTGGGATAAACTGGAGGGGACTGGGAGGGGACTGGGGCAAACTGGGAGGGACTGGGAGGGACTGGGATAAACTGGGATGAACTGGGAGGGGCTTGGTGGGATTGGTTGTTACTGGGAGATTTTTTATCCTTACTGGGCGGTCACTGGTTTGGACTGGGAAGTCACCACTGGTCACTGGTGGTCATTGGTGGTCATCTCTGGTCACCGGTGGTCAGTGGTCACCACTGGTCATCTTTGGTCATTGGTGGTCACCTCTGGTCACCAGTGGTCACTGGGGGTCACTGGTGGTCAGTGGTCACCTCTGGCCACTGGTGGCCACTGGTGGTCAGCACTGGTCATTGGTGGTCATTGGGGGTCACTGGTGGTCGTCGGTGGTCACCTCTGGCTACCTCTGGTCACTGGTGGTCATCCATGGTCACTGATGGTCAGTGGGCACCTCTGGTCACCTCTGGTCACTGGTGGCCACCACTGGTCGGTGGTGGTCAGCACTGGTCACTGGTGGTCACTGGTGGTCATTACTGGTCATGGGTGGTAACTGGTGGTCAGTGGCCACCTCTGGTCACTGGTGGTCACCACTGGTCATTGGTGGTCAGCACTGGTCACTGGTGGTCACTGGTGGTCATTACTGGTCATGGGTGGTAACTGGTGGTCAGTGGCCACCTCTGGTCACTGGTGGTCACCACTGGTCATTGGTGGTCAGCACTGGTCACTGGTGGTCACTGGTGGTCATTACTGGTCATGGGTGGTAACTGGTGGTCAGTGGCCACCTCTGGTCACTGGTGGTCACCACTGGTCATTGGTGGTCAGCACTGGTCACTGGTCACCAGTGGCGACCACCAGTGGCTACTGACCACCACTGACCACCAGTGGTCATTTCTGGTCAGTGGTGGTCACCTCTGCTCACTGGTGGTCATTACTGGTCACTGGTGGTCAGTGGTCACCTGTGGTCACCTGTGGTCACTCTGGCTCCCCCCAGGCCACAACGCCGACGACGTGGCCGAGACGGTGCTGATGAATTTCCTGCGGGGCGACGTGGCCCGGCTGCGGCGCGCGGCCAACGAGGCCTCGGGGGCCACCGGGGCCACCCCTGGGGCCACCAACGTCACTGGGGCCACCAGTGTCACCTCGGGGGCCACCAACGTCATTGGGGCCACCAACGAGACCTCGGGGGCCACCAACGTCACTGGGGCCACCAACGAGACCTCGGGGGCCACCAACGTCATTGGGGCCACCAATGAGACCTCGGGGGCCACCAACGTCATTGGGGCCACCAATGTCACCTCGGGGGCCACCAATGAGACCTTGGGGGCCAGTAACGAGACCTTGGGGGCCACCAACGAGGCCTCTTGGGCCACCAAGGGCAGCCCCGGGGCCACCAAGGCGATGAGAGCATTGGAAAACCCAGTGGAACCCTTGGAGAACCGAATGGAACCCGAAGAGGACTCAACGGAACCCAAGGAGAACCCAAAAAAAGTGATGGGAAACTCAATGAAATCCAAGGAGGACTCAAGGGAACCCTTGGAGAACCCAATGGAATCCCACCAGAACCCAATGGAACCCTTGGAGAACCCAACAAGAACCCACCAGAACCCAATGGAACCTCACCAGAACACAATGGAACCCTTGGAGAACCCACCCAAAGCTCAGAACCCAATGGAACCCGACCAGAACCCAATGGAGCCCCACCAGAACCCATCCAAAGCTCAGAACTCACCCAACCCCCACCAGACACCAACCAACCCCCACCAGACCCCACCCAAAGCTCAGAACCCAATGGAACCCCACCAGAACCCAATGGAACCCCACCAGAACCCACGCGAACCCCACCAGAACCCAACGGAACCCCACCAGAACCCAACCAAGGCCTTGGAGAACCCAACCAAACCCAACCAGAACCCAATGGAACCCTTGGAGAACCCATCAGAACCCACCCAGAACCCA